TATATAGTCCAAGATTTTGTCTCCAAATGAGCCTTTTTAAAGAAAGTGAGACTCCAATATATTTAAAGACATATAAGATCGTGTCGCACTAATATGAGATTCATTAAAGAATAACTAGATACATGTATGCGTTGTTAGTTTTACTCAAAACTTAGTGTATGTTCTGTGAATAAGTCTTGACTACAATAATATAGGAATTGAGCCGTTTGTGACGATTAACCATTATGATTTTCCTCAAGAACTTGAAGATAGATTTGGGTCTTGGCTAAACCGTGAAATGCAGTAAGCCTAAAATTGTCATTTTCAACTTTGCATCAATTGTTTTTTCTGTTTTTTTCTATCTGACATAATATGGTGGCAGGGAACACTTTGTTCATTTGGCAGATACTTGTTTCAAGTACTTTGGAGACCGAGTAAAGTATTGGGCTACAATTAACGAGCCAAACCTGTTCACGAACTTTGCTTATAAGTGGGGGATTTATCCACCATCTCGTTGCTCCAAGTTTTATGGTAACTGTCATACTGGAAACTCTGAAGTGGAGCCTCTCATTGTTATGCATAACATGCTATTGGCCCATGGCAAAGCGGTAGAGCTATATCGTCAAAAGTACAAGGTACTCATTTATTTCGAGTTTTTTGTCTGCAAATGTTGGGGTTATTTTTCTTTCACTTTGCAAACATGGGGTTGTATTTATTTACTTTATAAGGGAGGAGAGAGTCATTCCATCTCAACCCACTGAACCCACCGTCACATCAGTTTTTGTCTCTCTTTTTTCTTCATCTTTCCCAACCCACAACACACGAAAATCCTATCTTATTTAACCCACTCAATTAAAAAAAATACAAAACAACTAATGTACAAGTCTTAAAACACATGGTACAAATGAGAGAGAGAAAGTAGAGAGAGAGGATGAAGTGGGTTAGTGAAACCAATTAAACAACCCGCTGGAGAGGGAGTGGTACCGACGGTAACTCTATTGCTAATTAAGATTTTTCCTTGATGTTTTGTATTTTTTTTAATTGAATGGGTTGTTGAGTGGGCTGAAAAAGATAGGGTTTGCGTGTGTTTTGGGTTGAGAAAGATGAAGAAAAATGAAAGAGAAAAACTGATATGGTAGTGGGTTCAGTGAGTTGGGAGGGAATGACTCCCTCCTCCCTAAAATGGGGTCGAGTCGCCAAAACTTAGGAATATTTACGATGATGGACCATTTAATTTTTCATATAT